TCACTGAAGCTCCTGTGAACTCTGACGTATTAGGGTTTGGATTTTTTTGCTGTTCTGTTGCTGTCACTACTAAGATTCTAGGTACTCACCCTTTTGTTCGTTTATTTTCGCAATTGGTTAGCATTCTTCACTCTCACAGCCTTCATTGTTATTCCTTTACTGTCTTATGTGTATACTCTGTATGCCAATACTGGTTGAACTTTTAGACAGGTATGCCTTAAGTTTCTTTGTTATTTATGAACTTGCAGTATTATATTATTGTGTGCTTTTCTATAAATCTACTATCTCAATGATGTTCTGCAAGTTACATGACCTCTAGTATTGAACTTGAATGGTTTTAACATGCGTAGTAGACTTTCATTCTGCATATTTGATTCGCTCTCTGACGTAGTTTGCTAGCTTATGATGTTCAAACCTGTTAGTGAAAACTTGTTTTGTTTATATAATATGTGCATGTACGGGATTTTGTGTAAACCATATTTGTGTGTTTTTGTTTGGAAATCCCTGCTCTCTCTATTAGCTATAATATTAAGGGTTGAAACTCCTAAGTCTTAAAGTTTATTTGGCTGGCGTAGTAGAAGCTTGTCACTTATGTTGTTATGGCTATTTAGTATTCTATGGGTAAGCGAGGTAGCCGTATTAAGGTTTGGGCCTAGTTATTGGGCCAGTTTGGTACTCAAAACTGAAGCGTATTAATAGCCATATGGAGTATGGGCCTGTTCATCACCTAAGGTTTCAGGCTCAATTGAAGACCCAGAATCAGTCTGGGGTGTCCTGTATTTGCTGTATTTGGGCCTATAGCCGCTCTATTAAGTCTGTAACTGTTTTATTATCCTATTCGGGCCTGTAATAATTTATAATAACAAATAATGGGTAGATTAATAAAAGGGGCTGGGATATTCTAATATTTGCATGAAAGGGTAGAAAACCTGCTTATAGGGTTTGTGTGTTATATTTACTATTTCGTTCAACATGCCTTATTTGTTATTTTGTTTGGTATGAGACACACTCATAAAAATCATGCCTATAGGGAATCACGCACTTCACTTAACTTGTCTAATACTTGTACACCACTCAAAGCATGTTACTTTAAACATTTGTTGTACTTATTTCTCATTGCGCACATTTAGACAATATGCCTATAGAAAGTATAACGTATGCTTTAATATAGGAATTTAAATAATCAATTGGTCAATTTCTTACATTACATTCAAGTGTACTGCCCATCTAGAAATCATGACTATAGGATTCTAATCTTTTAATTAATTATTTTTGTTGATTTCATTACATTGCCACACTTAGACGACGTGCCTATAGGGATAAAGTATATAAAATCAATTTCAATTGTCTAGAAATCCTGCCTATAGGACACTATCACCTGCCTATGAAACATGTCTATAAAATCAGTGTCTTAAACCCTGAGTTTTCGAATAGCCTTGCTGCCTCATCGCACGAACAATGTAGATGTCATGCCTATAGATTGGTAATATCTTTATTCTGCCCATACGATAGTCCAGAAACTGCAGCACTACCTGAATAATGCTAGAATTAGAATCACGTAAAGATCCTGCCTATAGGTCTTGAATAATTTAACATGCCTTAACTCTAAACATGCCCATCTATAGTTGTCTGTTTAAATAATTTAACATCGTTGGTACAAGTCATAACTTGTCTGCCTAAGTGACAGCGTGCATACGTGTCTATATGAGGAGGTGAATCTGAACCTTTGGTGTTGATTATGTGCAGTCTTATTTGTTTTGAATGCACGGTTAGTTTTATTATTTTTTGAGCAACCTAAGTAATGTCTAGAACCACCTAAATAGTAGGTCCAAAGCCTCCTGGACCATAGGCATGGGATGAGTAACACACGCATAGAGTACGATTTAGGATTGAATTAGAACGCTTCTAGGTAAACAACTTCAATATAGTAATCGAGTAGCAGGAGATGATAGTCTGTGCCCGCGGAATAATATGAGCAACTCCTACCTAAAAGCAGTTGCAAAGTATTCTTTATGTTGCACGGGGTGATTTTTTAGGCTAAAAAACTTAGGACCCCCCTTTCTTTACATACTTGGCACCCACACTTAGTCGTTTAATATAGACCAATATAGTTGTATCCTCATAGTCATACTAAGATTTATTTGATCACCTAGCCTAATTATATAATCCACATAGTTTAAAGTTCGACCGGGACCTATAGTTGTGGACCTCGAAGAGTGCCTGACACCTTCTCTCCAAGGTAATTTGTGCCCTTACCCGATCTTTGGTGACATTGACTGGTCAAAATAGAGTTACTTGCAAATAGGTAACCTAACACACCTTAAACCGTTAGGTAGCGACTCTTCTCTTTTAACACTCCATTTAAAAGAGTTGTCACACGTTAAAACCCGATATCGCGAGAAAATGTGGCGCGACATCTATGAGTAAAGAATATGAAAGCAAAGCAGTAAAGGAACCCCGTACCAAATCAAAGAATGCTACGATTAATACAAAGCAACAAGTCAAGTCAAATATATGACAATTAAAGTATACAAGTAAGACAATTAAGGCAAGTAGCAATTAATCATGGAATCGTGGAAGAAACGAACATTTCAATACAAGAGTAATAAGTGACAAGTAACAAGTTAAGGCATAGAAAGTAATTAAAGCGTGTAACAGTTAAGACATGAAATAAGATAATTAATGAAATATAGAAAAACATGGAAATAATTATTTTGACGGCGTAGACACATGTAATTCACATAACATATAGTTCAAGGGTTCCTAATTAGATCAAATCAAGGTTAGACCCAATACTTACCTCGCTCCGCAGGCAAATCAAAGTTCAAGCGGGGACTTTCCTAAAATATTCGCCTCCAAACCAATCGAATCTAACAAAAATCGACTAATATCAACAAACAGTGCTAGAGAAATCAGTTACAATACATAAAGTTAAGATCTTTACACTTTTCCCAAAAATTCAACAAAAGTCAACCCCGGACCCACTTGGTTAAAACTAGAGATTCGGACCAAAATCCAATTACCCATTCACCTGAGCCCGATTATGTGATTAGTTTCGAAATTCGACCTCAATTTGAGGTCTAAATCTCAATTTTTACAAAAAAAACCCAATTCTACCCAAATCCCTAATTTTTTACCATGAAAGAGCATAATTTAAGGTTAGAAATCAATGAGTGTTGATGAAAATGGAATAAAACGAGTTAAAGTATACTAACCTATGAAATGGTGATGAAATTTCTCTTCAAAATCGCCTCTAGACCGAGCTCTAATGTGAAGATCATGAAAAATGGGTAAAATCCTGTGTTTGGAACATTTTAAATCACTGGCATCAGGTCTTCATCGCGTTCACGAAGGACCTGACGCGATCACGAAGCACAACAACCCTATAGGCCTTCGCGTTCGTGAGATCCTTTACGCGTTCACGATGGATGTTCCCCTTAGCTTTCGCGTTCGCGACCCTATGATCGCGTTCACGTAGAACACCCCCTAGCTCCCCCAGAATCCCCACAAAGTTTCGCATTCGCAGAGGCACAGTCGCGTTCGTGAAGGTTAAGCCCACCAGAGCTTTGCATTCGCGACTTGTCTCCCGCGTTCGCATAGAGTAAAACCACCCCAGTCCCCAGCTACCCTTTGCGATCGGGGGAGTAGCTTCGCGATCGTGAAGAATAATACACCAGACATCAGAAACCTTAGAAACCAGCAACAACCTAAGTTTAAAAAGTACTCCGTAGCCTATTTGAAACTCACCCGAGTCCCTTGAGCTCCAAATTAAATATGCACACAAGTGTAATAATGTCATATGATCTCGCTCGCATGATTAAAATACCAAAATAATATCTAGAACTACGAATCAGACATCAACATGAATGATATTTTCAAAGAAACTCAAGAACATGCAATTTTACTACCGGACATCCGAATCACGTCAAATCAACTCCGTTTTGTACCATATTTTGCAGATAAGTCATAAATAATGAAATGAACCTATACCAAATTCCAGAATCGAAATCCGAATCAGGTAATAATAAAGTCAACTTACGGTCAAACTTAAGAATTCGTTTACCCTTCAATTTACTAACAGATTACGTTAAATCAAGTTAGGGAATTTTGAATTCTATTCCGAGTATACGCCCAAGTTTCAAATCACGATATTGATCAACTGGGACCGTAAAAATACTGATCCGGGTCCGTTTACACAAAATGATGACCGTAGTCAACTCAATTCATTTTTAAGACTAAATTTCATATTTTCAAAAAAAGACACAAACTGTGCACATAAATCGAGTAGGGTTAAACGAAGCTATTCGAGATTGCAGAACACATAAATGAATGCTAAAACTGAAAATGACCTATGGGTCATCACATTAGGTATCTAATAATATTGTGTTCTATGATCCTTTGGGTCACTTTCACTTCTTTGATTTCTAGTAAAGAATGCCTGAAAGTTAGCTTTCATCTAGAATGAGCAACAATACAGAAGATTGTCCTTAGGATTTTAGTCACACTTCTATATTTAATCAAGATTAGCTAATGTGTAAAAAAATCAAGAATAAACAAGGAGTAATTTTTTCAAAAAAAAGGAAGAAGAAAAAGAAAGCCTAGTCGAAAAAAGAATAAGTAAGGGGGTTCTCTTTCCCATTCAAAAGGTTGGGGGGGGGGAGGGGGTATCATTTTCCAATTTATAAAAGTTAAGGGGGGTAAACTAGATTTTACTCTCATATATATAGATAAGAATTTATTCATAACTGATATTTACATCAAATCGTTGTTCGTCAAATAAAGTGAAACGGAAAAGATTTTCTTATATCACCTGACCAGCACTTACAAATTAGATTTACATATGCATTAAACAACCATCTAGACTCCTCTCTAATGATATGTTGCTATTTCCTATTTTCTGCTTTCTATCCTCATATATACAATTCCCTCCTATACATTCTCAGCTATAGAGTGCTTCAATCCAACCTCAGTCCCTGCTTGAGCGCCTCCTTCCGAGTACTTCATAAGCTTTGTGCTTGCAATCCTGCTTTATCTGCCTGTATAGGTTCCCATGTCTTAGGACCTTCTAATCCTAGAGTGCTGCATTTCTTGCTTTCCAAATGTAATACACCACAACTGGTAATGTTGCTAGCACAAATGCCCTGCACATTCTCTCTTTGACTTGCCTTATCATCCTTCTGTCTAGACCTCAAAATTCTGTGTTAGTTATACCAATGTTCAGCTATCTCAGACTACCTCCCAAGCATTCTTCCGATAGCTGACCTTTAAAAAATAGGTGTTCAATTGTCTCCTCTTCATTACCACATATCACACATAGATTGTCTTGGAAAATTCCTATATGTTTCACTCTATCATTTGTCAGAAGTCGTTTGTGTGTAGCTAGCCAATAAATGAAGCTGTGTTTAGGCATGTTCATCCCACTCCATACCCACCTTCTCCAAGGTCAGTCCTCCATAGACCCTTTCTTCCAACTATAACCACTACTTAGCGTGTATTCCCCAGTAGCAGTTAGGCAGTGGTTGTGCATATAACCTGCTGCAAATTTGTCTCTAGTTATATAGATTTTCCTCCAATACCAGTAACAATCTTGAGGAGGTTTGTACTGCGACCATGCACTCCCCTTTAAGTATATGTGATCCACCATCGTACCCATAAGTTGTATGTTTTTGCTGCTACATTCCATACATACTTTGCTACTGTTGCTTCATTCCATACAACAATATCATGTATCCACAGTCCACCCTGCTTCTTTGTTCTGAACACTAAATCACATGCAACCAGTAGGGATTTGTTTGTGTAAGCTTTCCCATACCATAAAACATTTCTACATACTGCTATGATGCTATTTATTACTTTCTTTGGAAACACAATAATGGTCGACCAGTAAGAGTATATGTACAGTAATACAATATTTACCAGCAATACTCTACATGCATATGATAGATTCCTTGACCCCCAGCATTTCACCTTCATAGTCAACTTATCCACCAATGTTTCACAGTCCATTGCTGATAGCTTCCTTGGTGAGATGGAAAACCCTAGATATCTGAGTGGTGGTGCCCCCCTCTTGTACCCTGTCAGTTCACACAAGTCATTCAAGCATTGTTCATCCATGTTGGCACTGAAAACATTTGATTTGGCAGCATTTGTGGTGAGTCCAGATGCATTAGAGAAAGTTTGCAATCCTTTTCGCATCAATACGATAGCTTGGAAATCTCCTTTGTAAAATATTAATACATCATCTGCAAAACAGAGATGATTCAGCTTCAACCCCTTATACTTTTTATGGTAAGCAAATCCTTCTTGTTCAGCCACCAACTCCATTATTCTTGCAAAGTACTCCATACATATTACAAATAATAATGGGGATATTGGTCCCTCTTGTCTTAGCTCTCGCTTTCCTGTAATATTTCTATATATGCCCACCATTGATAGCAATTGTATATTGTGTAGTTGTGATGCATGTCATTATCCACCGAATGAATTTGCAGGGAAAGTTCAATGCATGCATCATTTCTTCTACAAATCCCCATTCACCGAGTCATAGGCTTTCTTGAGATCAATTTTTATAAGGTGGTCTTTTGTAGTGTTCTTCCTATTGTAGAATCGTACTAGGTCCTGATAAATTAGGATGTTTTGAGCAATAAACCTTCCTTCTACAAAAGCACTTAGGTTTGCTGAAATTATTTCAGGCAACACTTTCCTTAATCTTTGACATAACATCTTTGATATAACCTTATAGACAATATTGTAGCAATTTATAGGCATGTAATCACCTACAGAGTCTACATGTGTTCCTTTTGGAACAAGGGTAATTACTGTATTATTCATCACATGTAGTAGTTTTCCAGTACTGAAAAACTCTAACACCTCTACAGTTAGGTCCTTCCCGATTATTCTCCAACTATCTTTGAAGAATTGGCTCCCATAGCCATTCGGGCAAGGGCTTTTATCCCATGCTATTGCCCATAAAGCCTATTTCACCTCCTTTTCTGAGTATGTAACCTACAATAACTTCATGTTCTCTTCAGTCATCACATGTCCAATTTTTACTAAACTACTATAAATATGATCTCTACCCCCTCTGCTTGTACCCAATAAAGTAGTGTAAAAATCAGTGAATGCTTTTGCAATCCCCTCCACCCCTGTTATGTTATCCCCATTAGCATCCCTTATTGAAAATATCCTATTTGTGTTCCTCTTGGCCTTCATAAAACTATGAAAGAACCTTGTATTACCCATTGCATGTTACTTTTCTGCCTCAGAAATTGACATCTAGCTTCTTCTGAGTTACTACACTCATGTGCTAGCCTTCTCACCTGCTTATGTAATTCATAATCCAGTGGGTTTGCCTGAATTCTAACTTGGCATGCTAGAAATTCCTCTTTTGCATGGTCTGCTTTCTTTTCCATCTCACTAAATCTATTCTTGTTAATTCTCATTAATACTCTTTTCAACCTGTTCAATTTTCCCACCACTTGATACTGCTTAGTTTTTTTGATCACCAGCTGCCAGCTTTCCTCCACTTTATCATGAAGTTTGGTTCCAAGCTCCACATATTAAAGTACTTGAATTGTTTCTTCATTCTGTTTCCTCCTCTTTCCCATATGATAATAGCAGGGCTACGATCATATAACCCCTCCTCCATGTAATAAACTGTGAAAGTAGGAAGTTGAGGCAACCGATTACTATTCACTAATACTCTATATATCTTGCTCATTACTTTGTCAACCCTTTCTTGTTTATTATTTCAAGTGAAATAGGACCTTGTTGATCTTAGGTCGTGTAGTTCACATGCCTCTACACAAGTCCTAAACTTTGTTGTTTCTGCAACAATGACTGGCCTTCCCATCCCCTCCTCTCTTTATAGGACACAATTGAAATCCCTCATTACTCCCCATGGTCTATGTATCTGAGTATACAACCTACTTATATCCTCCCATAACTCTCTACTAAGAGCTTGATCGTTGAAACCATAGACTATGGTAATGTACATCTGTTCTCCAGTACCTCTGTGCTTTACTTTACAGTGCATTAATTGTGCAGTAACTTTGAGCAAATCAACCTCATATATCTGAGGTTTCCATAGTAGCCATATACTACCCCTATGATGTTTCAGCAAATTTGTGCTAAAAGACCGACCATTACAAAGATTAAGAGATGCTTGTTGAGACTTTTCCCTCTTAATCTTTGTTTCCAAGAGCTCAAATAACCCAACTTTTACATTATGCAGAAACAGGTTCACCTCTCTCTGCTTTGCTAGCTTATTTAGGCCCATGGAATTCCAACAACCAATATTATCCATTATGAAGAGGGTATCCCCCACCCTTCCCATGTTTAGGTCCCGCTACAACTTGCTTATCTACGGGGCTAGACGAGCTTGCTATGTTCCCACCAGACTTTGCTTTCTCTTCATTCCATTGTGCTAGTGCTGCATAAGAGTTCCTTAGCTTCAGAGTCACCTCTCTTGTGCTGCAGTTTTACTGTTTTTCCCAGTTCCTCTAGCAATTGTAGCATCGTTATTCCCTGCCTCAGGTTCATTCTTCTTATGTTGTGTCCCTGGCATGACTTCATTTGTCTTTCCTCATTCATTCCCTATAGTACCAGTAGTGCTCTTGGGTCTTTCCTGCCCACCATTGTCTGCTTTTTGTTGATCATTCTGTTCTTTACATTGGCCTTGCTATTTCTTGACCTCCTCCCTCCTCATATATTTTCGGCATTCCTGTTGCTCATGCCCAAAATTTTTGCATGTGGTACAAAGCACTGGATTCCACTCATAAACAACCCTTTGCTCTATAATCTTTCCATGTTCATTTTCAAACATGACTCTTGATAGGTATTGCTGGTTAATTGACACCTCAACAAGTATTCTAGCGAAAGTAAGTCGCACCTTCTGTGTTGTAGCTCTATCTGCCTTCAATGACTTTCCCACCATGCATGCAATTTTTGTGAGAGCACTCTTATCCCAATACTTGATATCCAATCTTATGAGCCTAATCCATATAGGAATTCTATCAATGGTCTCCTTCTTTATGTCAATGTCCCGTTTACATGGTTTAACAATAATCAAACATCTGGACTCCTTCTTCGATAGTTTTGATCTTACTTTCTTCAGTCTAAAATCGCACAAGCAACACTCCCTTGTTAATGAGTGCCACTTTATCAATTCCCCTGTTCCCCCAAATTCTCCGAAAATACCCATAAATTATTGTCAATGGAGGGTTAGATCCCAACACATAGCAAATCACTGCTGAACTCCAATACTCAACTTCTTCCTTAATATCATCAATTGTAATTTTGACATTTTGTCCAGTCACTTCCTCACTACATAAATCGAATCCCTCGGTCGTAGTTATTGGCCTTACTACTTTACTCCATGAATTCATAGCATTTTGTGATTTCCCCAACCCTACTTCCTTCGCCACCTCTTCTTCTACCATATCTGCCCATGAGCTTTTCCCACTACTCTACACCAAGCAATTCTCATCTTTACTGATCGAATTACGACGAACTGGTGTATTATTCATACCTGCTTGTGACAATTCTAGTGGTACGATACCTTAAAGTACATTGATGCTCCGCGTTTTCTTCGCATCTGCTGATTGCGATACCGTTTGCTTCCCATCATTTGTGACACTGCCTTGCCCTTGTTGCTCTCCCCCTCCTGCTTTCGACTTCCTGCCCATGTTCAGCCGTCAGTGAGAGGAAACTTCATTCTAGAGAGAGAAAGTCACCTTGTTCTTCTCTTTAGCAATAAATTTGAGATCTATGAATAAAAAGACGATTCCAACTCTCCATAATAATGTAATTTCTCAAGACAAGAGAAAAATGAAGGACTAAACCTTGAGATTAAACAATTATCAAGAAGTCATAACCCCCCCCCCACTNGTTCTTTACATATGAACTCTGTGCTCTTTGGTGGCACCAAGCTGGCATTGAAACATTAAAAACACTGATTGAAGTCTTTTGTTAAAAGTTATCGTTGTCATGCTTTAGACACTAAACTAGGTACGTACTATTTCATATGTGGACAGGATCACGTTATATGAGACTAATACAAATTCAAACGCAAAAAATACTGATTCTTTGGTGAAACACATTACCACTAGGACTCGATTCTCCCTTGCTATCGTTATTGTCATGAATTAAAGTGAAAATGGAAACAAGGAAGACGAAAACATAGACGTAAGAACAAGAAGATGAAAAAAAAACTTTGCTCAAGCGTTTTGATTTGTCTAAGATGTTTCCAAAGAATAAATCCATATGCTTACAGATTTCCTATTAAAAGCACTCATGAAATCTTAAAACGTTAAAAGCATTCATGAGTTTTAAAAAGACCAAGTTGGCATTTGAGATTCTTTGAACATTGAGATGTACAATTGTCACGAATATTTCAATATCTGTATAGGTTCCTAGATAATGTCATATATATATATATAAAATTAAGTTAGCGGTGCATTAGACGCTAAATATTATTTGACATGAACGTGTACTGTGATTACCTTAAAAACATTAGAGAGATCAATACAGATTCAAAACGTAAAAGACACACATGAAATCTCTTATTAGTCAATAAAGAACTATTGATTCTTTGTTAAGAACATTAACATTAGAGCTCATTCTCCTTCTCTATCATTATTGTCATGAATAAGAAGAAAATAAATATGAGGAAGAAGAAGAGATAGATGTATAAACAATGAAGAAGAAGGAACAAAAGTACAACCCAAAAACATTGCATAAAGTATGGCTAATTTGGCTCAGGCTGTTCCCATTGGAAGTTGGAACAGTGGGCTCTTGCATTAATAAATCCATGTATAGAATAAATCCTTGTATTTAAATAAAAATTTCATGGTGGTCGATGGCAGCCAATAAAAATGTTTCATAAAAGGTTCTATTTTTTTAAAAGTAATTTAACTTAAATAGCCGACCACCTAATTGCTTGAACTAAAAATAGCCATAAATATATAGTATATACAATAAACCATGTATTATATGTATAACTATATAAATTTAATACATAATCTATATATACCAGCTAGAAAAAGTAAATACTAAATATGACTAGCTAGTTTCGTAAAGACCCCAAAAATGTAGAAATTGAGAGGAGAGTTTGCGAAATTTTCTATGTATTTCTGAATGAATTCACTATACAAAGGACTATGTATTTATATAAATGTATCACTAGTAAAGAAATTAAATAATAAAAGAATAGCCTATTAATTTTGTACACTTGTTCTATTTCTACTAGTCTAAGTCTAACAATATAACTAACTAATTATTCCTTCTTCATGTGACATTTTGTGTGCATGTGAGAAGGATCTAGA